TCCTTAAATGACATACTGTTTTTTTTATCTCAAAATAATCTTTAATAGGATTAATGTACCTTTCCCTCCCTCTAGCAGGTGTTACTTTGCAAAACATGATAAAGGTTCTTGCTGATGAATCTAAATTTATTTACAAATCATCTCCCATCAAAACTGTCCCTGGGTTCTGTGTGGAGTTTGGAGAATATTTTTATAAAATTGCCTGGCAAGCTATACTGCAAAAATCAGGAATTCAGTTATGTATTGTTTCTGCAGCATTCTCTGAAGAAGCTGACTTATGCAATTTGCCCAGTAATCTGACTCTCTTCAGCTTATTTCAAATGGTCTCAGGTTGTGAAAATGTAGAAGTTGGATGGAAACAGAAGAGGAAAAAGAATGGCTGACAAATCATGTATCATTTTTGATTAAAGGGAAAGGGGAATGCACCCTGACTTGACTATCTAAACCAGCTTCAGAACTGTAGGTGCCTCTTCTAAACAAAATTCAGAATAATATTTGGCCTTATGTCCATATGGATTAGTTAGAATAAAAGTAAAACATTAAATTTTAAACAGAAATTGTAATGCATCATAATGCATATAAACGGCATACTTAATGTCAGCAATAGCAGAAAGTATATGGATTCATTGCACAAAACAAAATTAGATTGAATCATTGGAACTAAAATATGTAATGACTGACTTGTCTCCTTATTGGTAGCTTTGGCAGAAAAAGAAAGACCTTGAAAAAGTAAAAATTAGATGAATAAATTATGCCAAAATCTATTTTTGGACCATATTCCTATTGTCACCAAATAATGTAGGCTTTTCAGGTTTTCAGAATTTGCAGTAAATTTGGAAAGTTTAAAAAATACACTACCAGCATCTGGTAGAATTTAATCTGAATGTCTGTTGTCTCCTATATTCTGCCTTATAATTTAACAGAGACATTATGGCATCAATAGGCACCCAATTTCTTGTCCTTATTCCACTTCCTACTTTATTTACTACCAAGCTGATGATGAATCCTAGAGGAATTGCAGAGAAATTTCATCTAGTTGAGAAATAGTATATATTCTGCAGCATGGAATCACTGTTCAAAGGCTGGAAAGGAACATTCTCACATGGAGTGTACAGGTTGTCCTCAATTTACAACAGTTCGTTTTCTGACCGTTCAAAGTTAAAATGGCACTGAAAAGGTGACATAACCCATTTTTCACACTTATGACCTTTGCAGCATCCCCATGGTCATGTCATTTATCTTTGGATGCTTGTCAACTGGTTCATATTTTTGACAGTTTCAGTATCCCAGGTCATGTTGTCAACCTTTTGGGACCTTCTGACTAGCAAAGTAACTGGGGAAACCAGATTCACTTAACAACTGCATTATTAATTTAACAATTGAAGTGATTCGTTTAACAAATGTGGCAAGAAAAGTGGTAAAAGGGATCAAAACCGCCTTGAAGGAGGTGGTGGTTAGGCCCCTCCTTAAGAAGCCTTCCCTGGATCCAGCTTCTTTAGCCAACTATCGTCCGGTCTCCAACCTTCGCTTTGTAGCGAGAGTGTGGTAGTTCTCCAGTCCCTGGATGAAGCTGCCTACCTGGATCCATTTCAGTCGGGTTTCAGGCCCAGGTACCGCATGGAGATGGCATTGGTCGCGTTGGTCGATGATCTCTGGCAGGACCAGGACAGGGGCTGCTCCTCGTCCTGGTCCTATTAGACCTCTTGGTGGCTTTCAATACCATCAACCATGGTATCCTACTGCGACGACTCAGGGGGTTGGGAGTGGGGGGCACCATTTTATGGTGGTTCTCCTCCTACCTGTCGGATTGGTTGCGATTCGTGTTGGCTGGAGAACAGGGATTGGTGCGTCACTTGTGGGGTGCCCCAGGGGTGGGTTCTCTCACCCCTCCTGTTTAACATATATATGAAACCACTGGGCGAGATCATCTGTGGTTTTGGGATATGGTATCATCAATATGCTGATGATACCCAACTTTTCATCTTCACCCCAAACCACCCAAATGATGCCCTCGACGTGATGTCCCGATGCCTGGAGGCTGTGCGATCTGGATGGGAAGGAACAGGCTCAAGCTCAATCCCTCCAAGACTGAGTAGCTGTGGTTTCCGTCATCCCAATTTGTGCATCTTGTTCCATCTTTGATGATGGGGGAGAAATTTTAGCCCCCTCAGAGAGAGCCCGCAATCTGGGAGTCTTCCTGGATATGCGGCTTAGTTTAAAATAACACCTGACAGCCATGACCAGGAGGGCCTTTTACCAGGTTTGCCTGGTATGACAGTTGCGCCCCTTCCTGGATCAGAATGCTCTATGCACAGTCACTCATGCCCTCATCCTTTCTCGCCTGGATTACTGCAACACTCTCTACACGGGGCTGTCTTTGAAGAGACCTGGAAGCTTCAGCTGGTCCAGAATGTGGTTGTGCGGGTTATCATAGGGGTACTTAGGTGCTCCCATGTTACATCCCTTTTAGGTGGCCTGCACTGGTTGCCGGTTGTTTTCCCGGTGCGATTCAAGGTACTAATTATGACCTTTAAAGCTCTCCATGGCTTAGGCCCAGGGTACCTGCGAGACCACCTACAGTAGCACCCCACCATCCAGTGCAATCCCACAGAGTTAGCCTCCTCAGGGTGCTGTCAGCCAGACAGGGTCAGCTAGCGACCCCCAGGGGGAGACCCTTCTCTGTGGGAGCGCCTTCCCTCTAGAATGAGCTGCTGCCAGAGCTTCGCATAATCCCCGACCTCTGGTCCTTCCGACACACCCTAAAAAGTTGGCTTTTCCAGCAAGCCAACCTGGCCTGAACAGAATAAAATAAATGATTAATTTAATTGTTAATTTAATCTAATTTTTAAACTTTTATTGTTAATATTAATTGGATTTGTTTTTGGATACTTTATTTAATTTCCTTTTTAACTTTTGTAATATGTGCTTTTTTTTAATGTACGCCGCCCCGAGTCCTTTGGGAGAAGGGCAGCATATAAATCCAATAAACAAACAAACAAACAAAACTCAACAAATTTCTTAGCAACATAAGTACTGGGCTCAATTGTGGTTGTTAGTCGAGAACTATCTATAGACAACAGTCACTTTCATTTTCAAAAGCTTGATAATAATGCATATCCCAATATCCGTATTGTTTTTGTTGTGATAACCTCTTTTCAGTGCTGGATTGACTTGTTTTCCATTATCTTCTGCTGAAGTTTTGGTTTGAAGAATTCTTCCTTGACCTCTATAAATTAATATACTTAGGATGGACAGTATTCATTATTGTTTAGGGTATGTTGTTCAGTTGCTGAAGAACCAAACTTCTTGTTATGCAATCACCAATATATTTCCCTTTTCTTGTCAAACTAATTTTTCAGTTTTCCCACTGAAGTAATTTTTTTGTGGGTACTTTAAAAGTGGGAAAGAAGGTGATGTGTGCAATTAAGCAGCAATCCCCATATATCCATCTAATGGAAAACTCTTACGTAAATGTATTTTTCTCTAATAGCAAATGATGTGAGTGATATTATTATATCTCCAGGTGTTCTGGCATTTCCACCTACAGTAAATATTAATAGAAAAAAACACCATGTCACATAGTAATTGTCTGCATTTCAAAGCCCCCTCAACTTTTCTTTTGTTCTTTTGAAATCAAAAGCCTTTTTTTCACTTGAATATTCTTCTGAGCAGGTGAAAGAAGTTAAGCTTTAAAGTAGCTACGTAGCATTTTTTGCAGTGTGTTTACCATTTGATAATATGAGCAAGTTCTGAATTCTGCGTTGCTTTAGAGAAGGAGAAGCAAAGCTTTTTTTATATATACACACTGCACATTTCCAGGCCATTTCATATGATTAAAATTTCATAGCAATGGCAAGTTTTCATCTCTCTGCCTTTCTGTCTCCGAATGTCTTCGGCCTTGCTCACAATTTTAAATTGTCATTGACTGTTTGAAATGTCAGGACAGTAGAGGATGCCCAACAGCTTTGGGTATTTTTACTACGCAATTCTCAAAGCCATGGCTCTTTCCCTGGGCCATTGTAGGAGGGGGGGAGGGGGGAGGCTTACAGTGGTGAGGTAGATAAGGCCATTAATGGCTCTGATTCAGGTGATTCAGTAACATATTAACACTTTGGCTAGATCATTTTAACATGTTGGTTGCTGCATTTTGATGTCTTCTAATCCTGAACCGTTCTCATCATTCTTAGGAGCTAGCCAGTAATTCAGGGATCTGAAGTCCAGGTCCCAGTTTAAGAGTTTCTTAAATATTGATATTCTATAATATTTGCTGAATTACTGAAAAGCATCATGTTTTAGTTTGCCTTTTTAAGGTAAAAAAAATACAAATTTATATCAGTCAGAAATACAACATATATGAGAAAATCATGGGCTACCTCCAGGTGAGGAGAATTTAATAGTTATAAGCCTACATCCTTTAATGTGTAGATAGAATAATCCATTTTCCATAGTTTTGATAAGACTTTTCTTAAAAAAATAATCCCTAGATTTCTTTTTTCAGAAATCACTATAAATTCATAAAGAAAATTATTTTGGGTTTTTTTTTCAGTTGTATTCATCCATTGACTCATTGGGAAACTCTTTGAAATGGTAATATGCTTCTTAATGTGATTCAAATATCTAAATCATGCAATTGCAATACAATTGATGAATAATCTCTCTGGAATAATACTGCACCCCTCAGCCGCCCTCTTAATTTTATTGTGTGGGATTAAAAGAACCTGTAATTCAGTAGCACATTCGTGAAGTCAGATATTCTGGGTTTAAAAGGCAGTTTAGAAGCTAAAACTGGGTTTCTGACATTTGACAAATCATGCCCTAAATTTCTCACTAGCATTAGAAGGATATTTGGACATTGCTTCCTGTTTTGCCTGAATTGGATAAACCAATGAATGTTTTGATTTGGGGGATTACAGCCTGATCCGTTGCAGCCTTGAGTTAAAAATAACAAATGAAAACAAGCAGGAAAGTATCAAGACAATGTGTAAGAATTGCAAGCTTAGTCCAGTGAACCAGTAATATAATTTAGCACTGTACAAATATTAGTTAACAAATTCTCACAACACCCCCTGTGAGGTAGGGAGACATTTTTGTTCCCTCTATACAGATGGAAAAACTGAGGCACAGAAAAGTTAAGGTGTATATTAAGATGGTGGCAAGCCCATAATTCAGTGCTTCAATTTCTATAATCTGAAAACTAATTATAAAATCATGCTTCCCCTTTATGTATTAGAGCCCAGCCATGCCTTCTAAGAAATAATATGTGGGGTTGTTGCCTGTTAACAACATACATTTGATATTAAGTAATTGTTCCAGTTTTCATCCCCATATAGAACAGCATCTTTCACATTCTCATTTAGATACTATCCCATGCCCAAACTCTCAACTTTGTTGAACATTCTGTACTACGTAAAATGTACTACAAGGGAGTTTCATTAAATATATATATATATATATTCTTCATTAGCTATTGTCTTCGTATTTGAAGAGAAAAGGAGGATCTCTGGAAGGCTGCTGTGACAAAAGTAGCAGAAGATAAGCACAAGGCAAAATGAATCCTTTTTCTATTGCTCTCTTCATCCAAATTCCCAGAGCAATTGTGCTAGGAGGACTAGAATGTTATCACTAAGCCAGCAAATAGCCAAAGCTAGAGCCAGGATCTCTTCTTAGATCAAAAGTAACATCAGGAGAGGAGAGAAAACTTGTCGATCTAATGTGAAGCCAATGGGAAGGACAATTCAACCAGTGATCATTTAGGGGAGGACGTGTCCATTTAGGCCCACAGAACTGGGTTTCTTCTTACAATGTTTCTTTTTCCCTCTGGGAACATCTGCTAAGCTTCATTTCTGTCAGCTGGATGTACCGTACAACATTGGTATCTGCAGGGAAAAATAATTAAAATACATCTACTTAATATAACTTTCTTCTTGAAATATGCAACAACCATATTTGTAGATCATATTCCCAACTGGTAATAAAATAAGGGAAGGCTATTTTAGGAGAGATCAACCATCAGCTTGAGAATATGGCTAGTTTTTCTATCATAGAACTCAAATACCAAGCCAAAGTACTTTGCTAAACTCAAACCAGACTAACTATATGATGACATTAGTATGTGAGGTATATATCATGTCCTTGTTATCCACTAAGCACTGAGCGTATTCCAATTAGCATAGCCTCATTTACTCCTCTCCACAACCTGTGTTTCCTATACATGCAACATGTATGAAATAACCATGATTGACTGTACTTTATATTTTGAAAAGGAAATAATGTGACTTTAAATGCCAATGGTGCAATGGAGACCAGCTCAAAATATAGGATTTGTCTATCAGTGGGTATGACAAGAAGCTAGCTGTTGGAATGGTTGGATTGTGGGGCACCAGATTTTTGTTGATAGTCCAATTCTTGAAATTACCTATCCTTTGTCTACATTGACAGGGTACGTATGAAAATTATGCAGGTATTTAATTCCTACCATCAATCTCCTTGAATATGTATGCAGCAAAAAATACAGAAATTGTCTTGATTACTGCATTTAGGCATGAGTTAATATATAGGCTCAGAAATAATGAAATCTGACACTCTACTGGTAGTAGCTAACGCTTAGGGGGAAAAAATCATAAGAAAAAATGAATGTGAGAGACAAAGATTAATTCGATTTTTGACAGTATGTAAAGAGCATCCATAAAAAGTTCAGAGTTAGAAGGTTTAGCACTATGTGATCAAAGATGTGCAATTGGAAATTTCATAAAATATCTGGTAGGGAATCTCTCAGCCTCAATTTTTTTTTCCAATTACCACTCCCAACAGTTTCAATCATCATGGATAGCAAGGAAGAAGGTGGAAGTTGCCATTGAGTGGAATCAGGAGCTCTGTAGGTTGCCCATCCTTACCTGAGAAAAAAGATACATATTCTACACATTCAAAGTACAAATATTCATTTTTTTAATTAAAAAAAAAACCCGTTTCTCTTTTGATGTAGATATAATTTCCCGTTACGTTGTCTGCTTTTTTATGTGATGTCATAATTCAGCCTTGGACTGATCAGGAAGATTGAAAGATATATTAAATAAATAATGAAATATTTATCATTTGTTGGAAGAGTAGCTAGGAAGTCGTTTTATCAGTTCCCTTCATAACACTTGTACTGCTTGCTTTAAGAAATTGAAGATGGAAAACCGAAATGCAGCTACTTTATATATTGTGCACAATACCAGTTTATACCAGTTATAAAACTCCAAAGAGCCTTCAAAATATACAGTAGTTACAAATACCATCTTTGCTATTAAGACAGTGTTCAAACCTTGTAATATGTATAATATATTCTCTGTCACTTGAATCTCCCCCACTCCTCTTTCTTGGCAGAGATATGAAACCTTGAATATATGCCGAGTGAACTAAGAGGGATAATTACCTAGATAGACTTAAAAATCACACATCCTGAAGATCACAGAAACAATCAGACAAATTTCTAAAATGATAGAGAAGAGGTGTGTGATAGGGGGATGGGCAGGGGGGCCTAAAACGCCAAGTAGAGAGCATGTCTTTTTTTTGTCAGCACAGAAGGAAATGGACCTATGGATAAGTTCATGCATATGAATACTTTCTCAAATGCATTTTCTTTTCAAGACCTGGAGATAAAATAAGATTTAATCAAAGATATAACGTTTTGTAGCCAAAAAAAAATATATCCCTCAGCCAATTTTTACTGCAGATTCTTGGGCTTGGTTATCAAAATCCTAGGTAAGGTATTCTTCATGGAAACCGTTTTTTCAAGCTTTACCCCTTTTTTTCTATACAATTGTACTAACAAATGTGTTATAAGGCAGGTGTTCTTGTTCTTATTTCATTTTACACATTAACATGATTTTCTTAAACCTCCAACTGGAAGCATAATCCTGAACTACCCCTCCCCCCCCAATCATTGTGTTTATGCCACCCATGGCTTGAGTTTGGCTTAACTTGACGTTGCCAGCCATTGGAGTTAATTTATCCAATTATACTTACAATGTTTGTGGCTTAGCATAATGATGAATACCAGAATTTTGACAGCGGGTCGGATTCAGACATTGCTTTAAGCTTGTGCTGTTCAATTTTTGATGTGCGAATCTACTCATCTGGTTTATTAAATCAAAGCATTTTTAAACAAACGGTGGCTTTTATTTCTTTCACCTTCTTTAGCATGTTGTGTGATATTTTCATTTATTTTAAAAAGCCTATAAAATGTCTTTGAGGATGTATGACAGCTCAAGAGACTTTACTGATCCAGAGATATTCACTGAGAAGCCAAAAAATATAATGTAAGTATGTTGCATGGCAACAGTGAATCTAACTAATGGCAGCAACCAGGACAATTTCAAGCTGCACTGCACTCCCGAGGGAGGGAGGGAGGGAGGGAAAGAGGGAAGGAGGGAATTACATATCTTTTTTAGTGTAGATGTGTTATTTATTGACAGACAGGTTATAATCACTCTTTTACAGTCCTCATTGTGACCACATACTGTGAAACTTACCAATTTAAAATCTTCCATATTTTTCAAACTTGCGGGGGGGTGGGGGTGTTGTGTTGCTGGGACAAATATTTTCCTAGATGTTATTTCTCTTTGATTTCACAGTCAGATCTGTCTGCTGTCTGTAACATCTGATTATATAGATCAGGGATAGGTCATCTGTTAGTGCCAAAGTCTCCCTGGACAATTTGAGAACATGTCACGGTTGCCATCATAGAATTGTTGCCATAGGAAATCAACCTGTTCATAAGATAGTTGCTATAGGGGACATGGTCAGTCATAGAAGTGCCATGTAATAGAATAGTCATCCAAGCAAGTCTCTATCACTCCACCTGAATCCTTCTAGAACCCAAGCTGGACTTTGCTTTGTAAAACTACTTCCTGTTTACATGTAATTAAAAATACTTTTAAAAAAGTCAGGTAAAGCAGGCAAATGAGCACATTTGTTCATGAGCACACAGTGTTCATGGGCACCATACTTTGACCTAGGTAGCTTCTGGAAGCTTAAACTATAGAGCCATAAATTGGCAGGAATAAGGAGGTTCTCCATATGATGCGGTACCCTATTTTAACATGGATAATAGCTGAAACTATCTGGAACACAATGGCTCAGTGGCTAAGACGCTGAGCTTGTTGATCAGAAAGGACGGCAGTTCAGCGGTTCGAATCCCTAGCGCCGTGCAATAGAGTGAGCTCCCATTACTTGTCCCAGCTTCTGCCAACCTAGCAGTTCGAAAACATGTAAAAATGCAAGTAGAAAAAATAGTAACCACCTTTGATGGGAAGGTAACAGTGTTCTGCACGCCTTCACCGTTTAGTTATGCCAGCCACATGACCACGGAGACTTCTTCAGACAGCGCTAGCTCTTTGGCTTTGAAACGGAGATGAGTACCGCTCCCTAGAGTCAGGAACGACTAGCACATGTGTGCGAGGGGAACTCTTACCTTTACCTTTAATAGCTGAAACAGTATGCTTTATATGCAGATGGACTCCACACCCTCAAAACCTTTATATAAAATCGTGAAAGACTTCTGCCAATCATAGATACTTAGGATCAAGCAATTTCTTGTGAGGAGAACACAGTGGTCTCTTTACATGATAGACATGTTTCTCAGTAATCTTCATGTTGCTTCCATTAATTAAACAAAAATTAATGGCAACTTCTCCAATGGCAATTTCCAGTCTACTTTCTCTAAATCATTGCATCTCAAAAGTTTGGGGAGAACAGACAAAATGTTGGACTTCTTCAATCATTTAATGCATCAGTGAAGATTAGGACCAACCAACTCCCCGTCTGACATTCTGGCTATGCTTATCTGGAAGCTCACCTAAATATTTTGCATTTTTCTTAAAAGAGGATGCCAGTAAAGAATAAGATAGCATTTGGGAAATTAAAAATGTACCAAGTATTGCTTAAATTTCACAACACTAAATCTTTTCTCATTCCTCACCTAAATCTTTTGAGTTGCCTTGCAGGATTCCATGATACCATTTCCCTTCTGCCTTCAAATTTTTCCTCAAGCCTTGTTTTTGTGAAGCTTTCAGCACATCTGCTTCTCATGTCTTGATGGAGCTGCATGTAAGCAAGCCCCAGCATCTGCAGTTTTAGCCATTTGTGGTAGTTCCCTATTTATATTTTCATAAGTTCCCTTTTCTGTGCTTTTTTCAAAGTATTATTTTGTAAGCTCTGTGGAACTGACATTTGTCTGCTTGTCCTCTGGAAATTTCCATGTCTATCATTCATGAAATAGAAGAACCACCCTAACAGACATAAGGATGAAGGTCAAGCCAATTCTTGTTTCCTTTGCTTGAGAGGGAAAAATGATTGGCATTTTATAATAGCAAGGCTGAACTTGCCTGGACAGAGGGATCCTCACAAAATTGTCAAGGCAACATTTTTCTTAATCACATCATGTGTCTGGCTTATCACTTCTGAAAGTCCTACAAACTTCATCTTCTAATAAAAGAATGGCTCAATTATCTCATGTTCTTTTCTACTTTTTTCTGATTGAGGTTAGGGGACAAAGGTAGAATGCAGTTCAGGCAGGTTAGTTTTCCATACTGTAAGCTCTTGGCAGAGAAATAAAGAGATATAAAAGGCATGCTTCACCAGCAGCAGGTTTTTAGAACACAGGATTCATCTCTAAAATACATTCCTGCTTACTCAGTGAAGTGAGCTTCCACTGGGTTGTACTAATGCACTCTTACTAAATCCATCAAATTCTTATGTATGTAATACAAGTATGTGGTCTCTCCCCACTCCCATGCCATTATTTCATAAGCATGGGTGTAGATAAAGGAGGGTAGCAGAAAGGTAGAGTAGATATCATAAATTACATAAAATATGTAATATTCTGAGGTTCAGT